CTCTCTCTCTCTCTCTCTCTCTCTCTCTCTCTCTCTCTCATGAAAACAAAGACAAGCAGCCTTTTCTCTTCTCGAATGAAAACAAAGACAAGCAGCCTTGTCTCAGCTCTCTCGAATGAAAACAAAGACAAGCAGCCTTTTATCTTCTCCACAAGAAAAGAGCATAAAGCACAGCAAACAAACAGAAATGCACACAACAAAGAAAACATCCAAAGGTTTCCCCTCCTCCACCTCTCTCTCCCTCGCTATCAGCAGTCTCGGCACTACTCCACCGCGCTCTCTCCCCCCCTCACAGCATGCACAAGTACATGCACGCATGCTGCACACACACACACACACACACACACACACACACACACACACACACACACACACACACACACACAGAGGCAACCTACTCAGGAAAGTTGGTGAGCAGGGGTGTGGAGGGTTTGTCCCCCAGCTTTGCTTGGAGTTTGTGCCACCCGTGACAACTCCAAGGACAGCATTGAGGGCCTGCCAGCCCTCCATCACTTACTTGTGGGTGGTACCACCATAAGTAGGGCCTCAGAAGACACCTGCAGAGGGCCTACTTTTCTGAGGAGAATGACATCCATGCCACCCCAAATGAATCAAGGCCAGGTTTTGCGGGAAAGGGAGAGGGAGAGCAGGAGAGGGAGAGCGAGAGGGAGAGGGATGACAGCGGGGCAGAGATGGGTGTTAGTGGAAGAGAGACAGAATGCCATGGACAAATGCTTCTAAGCAGCTGCTTCGCAATTAAGCGAGACTATGTGTGGCCCTCATTGTCGACAAAGAATTCAGCTGGATGCGGTTGTGTCACATACAGGATGCTAGGAAAGTAATAAAGCCATTACGTTTTTTTTAGGGGAAAGGACCAAAGGACCAAGTGATCCGATGCAATCAATGGCAATGGCTCTTGCTGGCCCGTTTTCAGTCAAAGATTGGCCAGCTGATTTTCCAACGCAAAAACTGCCAATGCAATCGTACTTCTATCCACGGATTAGGGATGATTTTAGGAATCGCAAAGTCTCCCAGCTCCTGCTCCACTTCATACTCATTGCCTGCCTCAATTTTGGTGGTGGGTCCACGCTAATTTGCTGCGAGGACCCTTCAGATTACCTGCAGAGGCCCTCTGATATGTGTGAAAGGGATCCTTTGCTCTCTCTCTCTCTCTCTCTCTCTCTCTCTCTCTCTCTCGCTCGCTCCCCAAAAGTTCAAAGAAGGGAAATACAGAAAAAGTTTGAAAACAAGTAACTTACCCGTGGTGATGCAGTGAGTAAGTCGACCTCGACATCTGCAGTCATTGCAGCAGCCAGCAATGCATCCTCATACGCTTGCGTTAAATTGAAGTAAGAGGTCGCAAAGAGCACATGTGAGGAATGTGGCAGGCGGCTGACTACCCACAAAAACATTTCCTCATCCTGCCTGATCCCAAAAGGCCCCATCTGAACCGTCGGTACAATCCACGTGTCAGCCACCTGATCGTCCACTTGAAGCACAGCGGCTTTCATCGACTTCTCAGAGCCAGGGGCCCCATCGTCTTTCCCGGGTGTTTGCTGCTGATGATCGAAGAAGAACCCAGACCTCCGGGTCGATGGGCAAGCAGCAGTGGAAGAAGGCAAAGAAGAGGAAAAACAAGAAAAAGGATCAGGGACAGCAATGACACTTGCCACATCCGCAGCCATCGACTTCTTGAAGCGATCCGGCTCCTTGAGAGGGTCAACGCCTGCTGGGCATGGGCCAAGCTGACTGAAGCACACAGCTGAAGACGTCAATGTGTAAGAATACGCAGCTATGACCTCGACAAGCCGAGCCAGATAGTCGCCAAAACCAGGAGATCGTCGTGCAAGTATGTACCGATCCTGACGATTGGTGAAATAAGCTTTGCTTAAGTTAGCCCCACTGATAAGGACATCGTCATCAAAGACGTAAGCCTTGATATGCTGAACGCCAACCACTTCATTCCACCTAGCTGGTAAGATCGTTTTGAGGGGCCCTCTGAGCATTGGTGTATGGTACAAAGCAACTCTTACACCTCCACAGCAGCTCTCCTCTTCCACCAGCACATTTTCTTCGCTTTCCCTTTCTCCTCCTTCCTCTTCCAGTTTGCCATTGTTGGGCGATCTTTGATTTACGAGTAGTTCCTCTGCACCTGATGCTGCTGCTCCAGCTCCTTTTGGTGGTCCTGATGCTGCTGCTGTTGATAATGATGATGTTGTCCCTTCTTCCCCTGCTGAGGCCGCTGGTGAAAATGACGATGACAGCCCCAATGATGATGACGATGTTGGAGTCGATGGCGATGATGACATCAACGGTAATCGGGAACGCAACAGATCTGCACTTGAGGACATGTCCCCAGAAACAGGACGCATGGCACGCAGTGCGTCGAACAGGAGAGTGACACGCAGGTCAGGATTTCTGCGCACTGCGGCAGCAATCGTGTCAACCTTCCAATTCGGAAAGAGAAGAGGAAACAAGAGAGAGAGAGAGAGAGAGAGAGAGAGAGAGAGAGAGAGAGAGAGAGAGAGAGAGAGAGAGAGAGAGAGAGAGAGAGAGAGAGAGAGA